AAAAAAAAAAAAAATGTATCCATAACTCGAAATTTCACGTCATCTTTTTTGAAATTTCAACTTATTAAAAGTAACTTGAAATTTCGAGTTAGCTCTGCCAATCAGTAATCTACGTGAATGACAATTTTCTCATTACCTTGAAGGATATGGCGCAGAGGAATGCACACTCAAAACCGGATCGCAAAAAATTGGTGCTTTCGAGATTCCTTTTGCCGATTGTAACACCGTTGTATCTGTTTTCCAACAGCACAAACAATACTGCAGAATCAGTGTGTACCCCACATTTACTGCTGCTTAGAGTACCATATTCTTCTTTGTTAACAAGTGCATTACTAGTTATAAATGTGGTAGCATTTTTGCTTTCATTCCCAGCTGAGTTATACTTTCCCGAGACTCTAAACTGTTATGTAATGAATGAAACCAGAGGACATCTCTTTCAAAGTGCTACAGAGGGCCAAAAATACCTTTATTATGATTTTTTTCCCCCCCATTTCTACCTTTTGTATTTATAGTTTTCTGTCAAGAACTTTACATGAGGGAGTCTAAAACACTGGAGACCACAACTGCTTCTCTGAAACAAAAGTGAGAAAGGGGTTAAAATCAAATTGTCTACAAAAAAAATAAAAATAAAATAATAATAATTGGGATGACTAATGATTGAATTAAAAAAAACAACAACAAAAAAAACAAAATCACAGCAATTAAATGTCAAGAAGTACTTTGAATAAAATTCTTTCATTTTACAATGTAGATAAAGATTTATTTGCAGAAGCGGCCAATACAGGTGATCAGAATATGAATCTGTCATCTCAATCATAAATGCATTTTGTCAAAGCGTATCAGAAAAATTAGTTGCTCTACACACACACACACAAACACTCACACTTTTATTTCTACATCTCATAAATACAATCAATCTGATATACAAATATTTGGATAGATTCATTTTTAGCGACATTTAAAATGCAGTTTGAATCCCGGTTCTTGTCGTTCTGCAGACCATCTCTCGATAAGATCATTATTCAGTTTCTTGCGAGAGAAACTCAAGCTCGCTTGGACGAAAAGACCCTGTGGACACTTCGTTAAAATTGATGGGCAGTTGAAATAGGTATTTGAAACGCGCAGCATCCTAACACTGCAGACTTTCATTCTTCTCTACATCATCCATCATGCTTCCATTACTGAAGGGCGACTGAGAAAAAGCAAAGGGCATAGCAGACGAAGCAGTACCAGTCACCATTTCGACAGGACACCAAAGAGCTGCACATAAAAGTCCAAAATCTGGATTTAAAAAAAAAAAAGAAAGAAAGTGCAGCTCTTCTACCTGTCACACATACAAGCAATCACAGGCATCTGGACTTGAGACAGAATCGAAAAAAGGGATGATCATTCTGTTAACAGTGTTACGTTTGTGCGGAAGCCGGGTAGCTTTAGAGGATCCGACGCATTTACTGTACATTAAATCAAACCTACATGAATGTACAATTTGTGTATGAATGCATCCACAGATCAGCCTCCATTTTTTAACTGTCAGTTTTCTATTTGGATGCGAGAAAAAGCCCTTCATGGAAACACGCCTGTGTCAGAAACACATCAAAGTCAGTAATAGTTACTGAACAGGGGGGGGGGGGGAAGGAAAAAAAAAGAAAAAAGAAAAAGGGTTGAGTTCTGACATGACGGATAATGTGATTATACTCTTCTTAGGTACAGGCAGGAAGAAGGGTCCTTAAGACATAAAGCAGTTTGTTCATGTGCTTCTTTTACTTTCAGCTAGAATCCTCTGCTATCCAACAAGTCTGCCTCTTTCAGTGGGATGTTCTTTACTTCATCACTGGGTACTGACGTGGACCGCCCAAACGACCTGAGCGTACTCCTGATGGTGCACTTGTCTGAGGAAAAACAGCAGCAAGGAAAGGTGATTGTAGGGTGAAAAGTAGCAAAAAACAAACCCACACCAAACCCCCCCCCCCCAAAAAAAAAAAAAAAAAAAAAAAAAAACCTGTAAAAGGTTTCTCACAACTGCGAAACTTTGGAGTTCATACCTGTGCAAACTGTGAGGGGTTATAAAAGGTGACGCCCCCAGCAGGTGCAGTCCCCTGGGCTTGATCGCTCTGTCCAAAGACAAGTTCAGTTACTGAAGTGTGTGTGCAGTGTCACACTAACATCACTTTAGAGATGGAAAGCAAGACACAACTCACAAACAGATTTGACCAAAGTATAAAATACAGTGGCTTGCAAAAGTATTTGGCCCCCTTGAACTTTTCCACATTTTGTCACATTACAGCCACAAACATCATCAGGCAAGGTCTATGGGCAACTGACTGCACTCAGACTAAAGGGGGCTGAATAATTACGCACACCCCACTTTTCAGTTATTTATTTGTAAAAATGTTTGGAATCATGCACGATTTCCGTTCCACTTCTCACGTGTACACCACTTTGTGTTGGTCTTTCACATGGAATTCCAATAAAATTGATTCATGTTTGTGGCTGTAATGTGACAAAATGTGGAAAAGTTCAAGGGGTCCGAGAACTTTTGCAAGCCACTGTAGAAGCCAAGGAAATGAGAGGAAGCAGTAAGGACACGAGGACACAGCGAGGCAGCATTACAGATATATGTGTATGATACATATGTGACCACATTTTCCAAAATATACATCATGCTGTTTTGAAGAAGAATTAAAACTATTGCGTAAAACTGTAAAGTCAATATGAAAAACTCTGTGCTCATAAATCACATGGGAAGTAGGATTTTCCCCCCCCTCTATTTCTTTATAATCAGATTTTTTTCTTGCAACCAGAGACTAACCCCCTGCTGGCCACTGGAAAGAATGCAGATTTAGGACACTTTCATATTGACTTCCCTTTTTAGATCAGATGACATAATTTTACACGCACTAAATCTTAAACCAAATAACAAATTAAATGATGCCTGAAAACATCAGACAAAATGATAGCATGAATCTGTATTTATGTGTAATTTTATGGCACTCCAATTGATGTCAAGGCAATTCATTCTAAATCTCAATACTTTTAACTTGCTAACAGGACTAGGTTAGACAGAGATGACAATCTTTTGAGAACTAGAGGTATGGGACTGAGAGTGCTGCAGTCAATCCATTCAATAAAAACAATATATAACCAAAGTTAATAGAATTCTCATCTTTTCTACTCCACAGAAGTGTGAACACTTTTTTTTGGCGACAATTATATAACTATACTCCGATTTTATTGTCCATTTGTGTTATGTTGAGTTAGTAATGGTGAAGACAACAGGCAGGGTTTAATAGGCAAAGAAGCTTTGGGTGGGTGCAGTGAAGCATGCTACTAGTGATGTGGAGTGAGCTACAAGGGTGGCAGGCAGGGGTGAGTTAACTTAAAGCCCAGCTAGAGGTACCTGGTTTAAATGCTGACTCACTTCGCGTGATAAAGAACTCATTGAACTAGAACGTGACAGCTACAGACAGCAGGAGGAAAATTAAAAAACAAACAAACCCATTTTAATAACCTGGCATGCACTGGATTAGTTTTCAGAATGAAAATGAATAAATCAGCATAAAACCATGGTTCATAGAAAAACAGACATGGAAAGAATTATATTAGACCAGCACATGGAACAGAGTATTATTTATCAAGGCGTTTCGCATGAATATGAGGAAAGATTTTAATTCTACATGCATATAATATCATGTTCTTTCCCTCCTACATTAATATTACAAAGAGCAAAGTGCGCACACTGGCAGTCGAGCATCATGTTTCAGTTGCATTATGACAGGAGGCTTAGGCTTACCTCTCCAGAATGGGAGCCATCAGGCACTGGAGGACCTTCTGGGGCAGGTGGTAACAACATTGGGGTGAACATCTAGACAGATTTTTAAAAAGCGCAACAGAAGAAGTTTGGATAAGTAGAGCTGTTGTTTTGTACTTATTGATGGCTGCCTTACATTCTTTCTCAGTATGCTGCTTATGTTTTGTCTTTTTAATGCATTTTTTCACTTATCTTTTAAAAATGAAGAACAGGAGTAAAGTTCATGATTATAAAGAATATTGAGGATTACTAGTAAAGAGTAGAGATACCTGTGAACCAGCACTGGTGTTTGGAGAGTTCTGCTCCTGATTGCCTCCTTCACTGCCTTCCAGAGGTTGTTGATCATTGGGAGCTAATCCAGGGATACAAATAAACATGGAATTACTTCAATCTTTAAAAGCAGAAAATCCTCTACAGCCACCAAATGCTGCTGGTGAATACAAGTTATTATGCCATCTTGCACATGACACACACCTGAGCTAGGCACAAACAGGTTAGTAGGAATAGGCATTGGTGCCAAAGGAGCAAAGATGTCCGCTGGAGCAGGAGCTGGACCGCCAGGTTTAGCAGCTCTGCTGGGGTTCAAAACATCCACGTATCTACTCTTTGTGCCTGAGAGGGAACAAACACATCTGAGTTAAAAGTGCCCTATAAGAGAAGACATGCTTCTACTTTTAGATGCATTATGCAAAGTGAAGGATGAGGTTTGTTTAGCCAAAAGCCACTCTGAGTAATCCTCATCTCACCTGCCTTCCTGGAAAACATGTTGACAGGAGGAATACTACTCGGCGGTGCAGCAGGCCCTCCAGGACCAGGAACTTGAGGCATCTTGGGGAAGACAGAGGGTGGTGGCGGAGGTGGCTTGCTCTAAAAGTTTAGAAGAAAAACTATTAGAAGTGTTCAATTTGTAAGAATTTCAGGCTTTCTGCACACTACAGGTCCAGCCTGGAGAACACATTTTCAATTTTACAGACCTCCTCCTCAGGCTCGTTCAAGTCGACCCATCTCTGCTTCTTTTCATCCCACACAATCTGACAAAGATCACAGTACTCTCATATTGGCCGCATGTACAAACAAGTGTATGAAATTTGTAGAACAGGTAATGTAAACAAGAAAAAAGAAAGGTGAAAGTGTAAAAGCTATAACTTACAGACTTATTTTTGTCATCTGGCAAGTGAGCTTCATTCTTTCCTTTCCCAATGATCCAACCCAGCCAGCCAACCCCTTTCTGTGTGTGTAAAGATAATAAGTATTCTACTTAGCACAGTGACCACAGTGCACACTGAAAACCTGACAGCCAGTATGTAAAACTGAACCTTTTTTGGAGAGTCCTTCTTGACTTTCTTGGCCTCTTCTTTAATGGGCTGCTCGGGGATTGAGGGTGGAGGTGGAGAGGCTTGCACCACAGTTGAGTTGCTCCGCTCTCTTCCACCAGAGTGAGTAGAAGACTCCGAGGTGGTACGGGAGCGGCGTCCTGATGACTGGATGACGGAAAATACCAGAAAACACAGATATAAATGAAATGCATAGACCTCCAGATACAACCTCTTTTAATCATCATATAATTTTTTTTTTAACTTATTACACAGGGATGGTGTTTTATAAATACTGACTTGATTCCTGATATCTTTTTATCCGTTTTAGGCAAACACATACAAGTAAAACATCAAAACATTGATTAATTTCTAATTTCCCAACAAGAAAATCTAAATGTGTTTTGAATGTGTGTCTCTCTCTTATGTCGTATATATTCCTCCTGTTTGTTATTTATTTGTTCTGTCTTAATATTTCTATTGTATTCCTGCACAGTTTGTGTGAAGCACCCACAATTTTTTTATACCTGTACAAAGACAACAAAGGGCTATTCTATACCGTTCTAAAAATCTATTGTTAAATAGATGGGGTATGTCAGAATAAAACTACTAGGCCTAGATTTAAGTTCTTCCAGGATGTCTTGGTGAAAACATTTATTCCACTGCAGATAATGGGCTAACTCAGATTTTTTTTGTTAAATGAGAATATTAGAAGCAACAAAGTAAACCTAGCAGCAAAAGTTGCATTCTGGGAAATGCAGACAGCAGGTTTTAACTTTGCTATAATCTCTTGATCTTCATCTTTAGTTTTTAAAAACTAATCAGGCCTACTTTTCAAGCAAACTGTAGTGATTTGGGGACATTTTACAAAAAATCTAAAGCCAACCTAAAAATAATGTCTTGTATACAATTAGCAGCGTTGCCTTGTTTCTGAGCGGATATGCATAGACAGCCAGTCTTTTATTGCTCATTTTCAGTTCTGATAATGACTAATATACACTAGAACTGGACAAATTAAGTAGAATTACACATGCTAGCAGTTGAAATTAGAGCTGGCACGATACCACTTTTTTATGTCCGATACCGATATCATAAATTTGGATATCTGCCGATACCGATATGAATCCGATATAGTGTTTTTTAATCAACAAAACTGTTTTTTTAAATATCTTGCTGCATTTTGTATAAGTTCATACTCAAGTTTAAAACAACAACTACACTAAAGCTATTCTGTTATACCTGTATGCAAAAAAAAATATTTCATAGTTCAGCAATACTGATCAATCTAATAAACTTAAACCTACACCATCCTCCCTATTCTGGTATTTTAAAGAGTACTTAGCGTAAATATTAAGCAACCTAACTAATAGGGTTCCAACTCCCAGCAACAACAAAAATAAATAAATAAAAAATAGGGAACCACCCCTCACGCTCCACCTCATGATGCTTAATCGACGTAATCAACCTTAATTTGATGCAGTGTGAAAAAAAATGCACAGAAATCAATTATTTTTCAAGAAATATTAAATAGATTCAACATCTTTCTTCAACAAAATTGCAGACTGCACAGATGGTACCTTCCCAAAGGAAAAAGTACTATAGCTTACTAGGGTATATTAGACTTAATAGTTACTATATACAGTAATTGACTTCTATTCATTTTACATCAAATTAAAACTTTGGGTGTCAGATAATTATTTATTAAAAGCTAGACATTTTAAATGAGAATAAGAAAGAAAAGTATGTCTTTGTGCCCCCTTTTCCCTGTTAATGCCCTATCGGCCCCCCTGGCTAAACTTTGCTAGATCCGCCCCTGCACAGTTACCAGCCGTCAGCTACGTAGAAAAAGATCCTCGAGTAGAAAGTAATATTAAATAAATTCTAACAACAGCTTATCAAGCTTAAACGTGCTGCTGTTGTTCAGCCGCTGGTTTCCTCTTTCTGGTGCAAAGTGGGCCAAAAACAAACCAGAGAGATGGACTCGCGACAGAAAAGCCGATCAGCTGATCATTAAGCAGTTTCATGATTGAAGTAGCAGCAAGAAGAGGCAGTCGCTTGTTAAGCTTAACGCAGGAATGCTTTACAAACATTCAGAGATGGACTTACACACTTGCTTTACTTCTCTCGGGGATAACTTTGTCGGAGATGAAATGCCGGGTTGCTAGCGAAGCTCCAACATGCTATCCAGACCACCGACAGGTCCCGCATGCCACAGCCGCTCTATCACGTGATGCATACTGCTCCGACGTGCTAACGTTCTGAGGTGAGTTACGGCGTGTTGCAAGTTTTGTGAGGTGCTTTCGTGATATTTAATGGATCGGATTACATTTTTTATTTTTCTCCGATATCCGATCCAGTAATTTAGGTCAGTATCGGACCGATACCGATACGTAATATCGGATCGGTCCATCTCTAGTTGAAATACAAACATACCAAATGCAATGACGATTGTGAAGTAGTCCGAGGTCTCCCGTGACCCTGCAGAAGTAAACATTGTATAAGGCTCTTTACAAAAAAAATAAATAAATAAAATAAAATAGATATATTCACATTAGCAGATACTGACCATCTTAGCCATCTGATCATAGAAGTCCTTCTGAGGAGTCAGTGAGGTCCTACGTGGTGAGGATGGCATTGACTGGATGTTCGGCATCTCTACTGGGGACCGCGGTGGCTGTTCTACAGGTGGCATGTGCCCAGGAGAAGGGGGCATGTGCGGAGGCATGTGCTGAGGTTGGAAAGTGGGAGAAGCAAAGCCAGGACCCTGTGGGGGGTAGTTTGGGAAGGGAATCTGGGCTTGTGGTCCGCTAGTGGGGACCGGATAGTACTGGGGCACATCACTGGAAGGCGAGAACTGAGGAGGAGCCATTCCATCTTGGAGAATGAAAGTGGAAGCTAAAAGAGAATACAACAGATGAGATTTGATGTATTTTAAATGTACCTGACATTTCAGATAAATAAAAAAAAAAAAAATGCACCAAAGGCCCCCTAAAAACAAACAAACCTGGAGGCATCAACTGGACTCCCTGTGGTGGAGACCCAGGCAGTAATGAGCTCATGAGTGGGTTATCAGGGGCTGGGTTATCTAGCGACATGCTGTTTGGTGGGCTCGGATGGTCCAAGTCAGAGCTAGGGCTGCTGCACTCAAACTGTATCGGAGTTGTTCTGTCTGCATTGTACGTAATCAGACCCGTCTAAGAAACACAAAGCATCAAACATTTGTTTGATTGACACAAACTATTAAAAATGTTCACATAATTATTATACACAGCCTAATTTTTTTTTTCTATTCAGAAGAAAAGTTTACACAACCTCCCTATATGACAACTGCTTATGTCACAACAGAACTAGAGTACAATGTTTTTCCTTCTCCTCACTTTCATCTGTCCATCCAGCTGTCTCAGGCGAATCAGCCATTCCGGCTCAATGAACAACTCCTGCTCTGGTTTCTCCTTCAGTTGTGGATCGAAGAACCGCAGCTTTTCAGACATCTGTTGGCAAACAGTGTAACAGTAACCTTTGTCTGAATGCAACGCTGCAAAGTATTTAAGTGCCTATATTTAGGCAAAAATCACAGCTAAAGAGGAGAATAAGTGTATACCTGTATGATCTGACTGATGAAAACGGGGGAGTAGTAAGAAGGCTGCACGAGGACGGTCTTCGAGATAACTTCGCAATAATGGAAGGCCTGAGCGCTCAAGCCTGCCTCAGCCAAGCGGCATGCATAGATCAATTTAAACACCTAATGAGAGACAAGAAGAACAGAAGAGAGTGATACTTCTTAGTAATATAACATGATAAACATCACTGTAAATAATGCAGTCGTGTATAAAGTTCTTGGTTTATACATATTATTTATTGGTTTGTCAACTGGTTTAAAAAAACTCACTTGGAAATTTGGCAGCGAACAAGGTTGGGAGCCTAGAGACTGAGCATACTCATAGGCTTCAGTCCTTTGGATTGCTTCATTAGTCGCAAATTGAGAAAAGGGCAAACTGAAAAAACAAAGATGAGGTTACACATGTTTACTATAAAATGTGAGGACTTAAATTTAACATCTTGGAGCTACGTGGGTGTGGTTATTGCATTAACCTGTGGTTGGAGCCAATCAGGACCATCTTTGTGCTCTTCTTTGTGAAAACACCAAGACCAACTTGAGCCATCAAATAACAGAAGTGTGCTGCATCAACCAGGCCCTTCGAAGCTGGCGTGAGACAAAATGAGTGCAGACAGAGTTTAAGGGTGCATATTTGTTGCCAGCGCTCTTGATTACTGAATTCTTGACAAAACCCTACCAAGTGTGTCGCCCATGGTGGTAATTGTGCGAGTATCCAAATCCAGGGTGTGTGTGAGGTTTGACAGCACCATGGCCAAATGAGGACGCCAGTCTCCCCACTTCTCCTCCCCGCAGCACTGTGTGGGAACAAGACATATGTTAGCCAGGGCAAAATAAACACGCCTTTTTTTAAAACAAGTGTCTAAAGCTACAGTACATACTGGAAGCGATTTATTGCCACCAGAGAAAGTGAATGATATTTGGCACCTTCAAGTGACTACAGGTGAAGTGGGTAGGACCTGCAATAAGCTTTCAGGCAAGTGACTGAAGAGACTACCAATGAGAGTGAAGAATACCATTGAATGATATATGGCCTGCTAGTAAATACATTAGAGGGTCATCTAGGCAATCGGAGCCTGTCCACAAGTGACTGTGAAACACTTCCAGTGTGTTTGGCTTAAGGAGGGTATAACAACACTTACGGTGGCTGACGCAGGCATTCTCCCCGACATCAGCTGGTATACTGTCTGAAGAGGGTCATTTATGGGCAAACTGTTAGCAAACCTACACAACAAAGACACACACACACACACACACACACACACACACACACA